TTTTTCCAATATGGCATAATAGGTCCACTTTAAGTAACATCTTGCTCTCAGGACTTTTACCAATAGCAGAGTATTTTAAGACCATAACAATTTGTATTTTACTTTAGAAAGTACTTATTCAACCGTTACTAATAACAGTGGTGTAAAGTAATTAAGTACATTTACTCAAGTACTGCACTTAAGTGAGGGAATTTAACCGCAGACAAAACAACGTGACGACAGACTTTATTTCACGAGCAAACTCAGAGCATGCTTTATCACAAAACCCTTTAAAATCATCAAATAAAGAAGCAGAAATTAACTTAATTCACAAGTGATGGCATCTTTACCGTTTGGGTGCCAGATCTCAGTGATGAACTTCATCTTTGGAGGCCGTAGAGGATAATCATAGGGAAAGGTGAGGTATGCTTTGAAAAACCCGCCTTCACTGCAATAAAAAAAACAGAGAAAGGACAAATTATGACTTCAAATAGTCATTTATATATATTTCTGTTCATTGTATCTTGTTTGACAATATGTTCTCTCTTACAAAAGGGTATCTTGTGGACCGATGATCACGACTTCCCATTTATAAATGTCATCGTCGTCTATCAGACCAGCTGAAAAGCCCTCCACCGGGTTCTTGTTGAGCTCTGAAAAGAAAAGACACACCATTTAACAAAATAAACTGGAGATAAAAAGCAACTTTAACAAAAGGGACAGGTCTATAACACTCATGAGCGGATTAATGGGTAAATATTAAAGGGTATGTTTTGAAGAAGTTTGACAAATCCCTTGCAAAAGACAGAAATAAAAGGCAATTGTGCGGAGAATGATAATAAACATATCATTTCATTTGACAAAGAAGCACACACTATATTCCATTAGGTTTAAATACGGTGTTAAAAACGATTTAAAAGTTATCCAGGATTTGGTGAATGTTATTAGACCAATGCTTTGAAACCTCGACAGAACACCTCCAAGCAATAAATAATATTTCTAACTGTGGGGGAAACTTCTGAAGCAATTGGAGTCAGGACTCAGAGAGACACGAGGAGAGCTGGAGCTTTGATGGCAAACACTGACGGTTTATTTGGAGATTCGGCCGGAGAATTCACAAGACATGTCACGGGCCACGGTCTGACCACACGGTTGAGATGCCACCATCAATTCTGAAGAACCCTCCTGTCGCTCGAGGTTTTAAATAGTTCAGAGTGTAATAATCAACATTCTTGCTTAGTTAGACTAAACAGCTGAGGACACTGAATCACATTTGTTGTCGTTTATGGCTCGAGGTCATCTACACCCCGAGAAGGATGTCTTCCAGGTGTCCCACAACAATGACTATCTCTGACAGAGAGTTGTCCGGTATTAGCTGTATTCGTTATTCTCGCGTCCAGGAGAGAAGCTTTAAAAGTAAGGAGACCAATGGAGTCTCTGAGAAGGTTCAAATGGGTACTTTAATTAAAATGGCACGGTAATGTTACAAGCAGAAGATGGTTCAGAGAGAGGAAGAGGGAAGCTCCCTCTCGCAGTGTCGGCCGAGCAGAAGAGACTCCACAAGGCTCCGTCGCCTGACTATACATCTAATTTGGCTCCTCCTCTTCAATGGCGGCTGTGGCGTAATCTTCCGCCCTCCTTTCACCAATGTCCGATATCGCACATAACAGAGGATTTTGACATTGTACATTCAATACATCACTAAACACGCCTTTTCTCCTCCTTATCTCTTTCATGACTTTTCATTTAATACATTTTAACGGCTCTAATCAATACTTTAATAATACCTTACGGCAGTTTTCATTTACGCTAGTCCCGGATGTTGTCATATGCAACCCACGTCTGTAAACAAAACGTATTAAAATAAACTCTACTTTTATTTAGGGCTGGGCGATATGGCCTCTAAATGATATCGCGATATTTACTGAATATATCGCGATATACGATATATATCACGATATTTTGAAATGTCCTCTAAAAAAAAGAAAAAAGATTTATTTTATTTTATTTAACCCCTTGATGTTTACAGTCACGCCAGTATGATGATTCTAGTAGTCCCTGCAACATATGTCTGCATTAAAAAAATCGACTAATAATGAAGAAAATGAACACATTTGTTGCCATAGTAATTTATGCACTAACTACATTACTACTTGTACTACAACATTTGAATCATCAGTTCTTCCTCATTTTCCTCAATTGTTCATATTTGGTTTATTAAAATAATGATATTGTGGTCATTGTTCAAAAATGTCTGCTATTATTATGAGTATTATTATTATTAGTATGCGCTTTCTGTCTTCCTGTCATTATCAGGAATTAGACATGTAATGGCTATGTATTAGATTAGATTAGATGGTTCCCTCGACAAAAAAGCAATGGGATTTCTCCATAGGGTTTTGGAAAATAGCTGGAAATAAGGTCTGTGGAAAACAAACCTGTTTGATAAATGCACGTTTTGTTCAGCCGGATAATATCCACATGTCTACCCTACTTTTATAATTTTCTAATCATAAATCTAATCGATAGATTATAAAAGGGTTTTAGGACGCGTCACTGCACCACTAGAAAACAACTCCATCGATCAAGCTAGCTGAAACTTTCTCTCCCTCTTCTTCTCATGCTACCTGTCACTCTCCTTTAACTCCTCCGGTGCCTTTCTTTTATTTGAC